GATGGGTTTACCATATGACATTAAATTTCGTTTCCTGCTTGTCAATCAGTTGGATGACTTCCTCCAACTTATCGACTCGTACACGTTTGCTGGGCGTCTCCTCCGACTCAGTGGCAGCTGTTTGCAGTTCCGTATGCCAGTTAACCTACAAATATTGATATATGCTCAGTTTACGTCCATATGGCTATAGTATTTGATATATCTCTTTACAATATAGACAACAATTGCCGCCATTTGAATGAACTTGTCCGAGAACAAATTCAGCGCAGATGATTGGCCTCGGCCAATGAAATGCTTTCTGATTTCCATATCAACAATCGTGCGCAATTTCAGCACAGTCTGCCGCCAAGTCTGGTCAATTGGCACACGAAAAGTGTCAAAGTCATGGCTATTCATTTTTGGATATAGCGCTCGCAGTGATAATGTAATACAATTAAAGAACACATTTTTTATATCGTCGCGAAAGATATCGTCATTGTGAAAGTCACAAAGCTTAGGCACGATCTCCTGCATATAGACGCAGAGCTTATGATGATAGTTGACCGACAACTAGGGAATAGATTCGATTAGCTGGTTAATAGACAGTTAAGATTTCAAATTCAACCTACCTCCGTAACAATTATCTCATAGAGACGCACAATCTCCTGTTTCCTTTCAGCAGTATTTGCTGTCTTCGCGAAATTGCTGATCATGGGCAAGTAGTCAACGAGATCGGCGTGCAGCTGCACACGTTTCTGTGCTAGCTGCAACGTTTTCGTAATACACTTCAATATCTTGGAACGTAGTAGTTCGTCATTGTTTAAATTTAACTCAAACAGGTACGAGAGCACACCTGAGATGTATGAATGGATTGTGATATAGTAAACATTTGACGCTGATCTGCTGCAACTTACAACTATATTCGCTGACTTTCAAGTTTTCTATATAGGTGCTCGATAGAAAGATGCCTCTGTCCAGCAAATTGATGAAATGATTGCCGAAATGCCGTACGACAATGCGCTGCTTGATGCCCTCCTCGAAGGCATTGAATATTGTGGATTTGGACAGAAAGTGACTGCCAGATCTGCCCACTGCAGATGTAAGGAATAAAGAGTAAAGATTACTAATAAGTTCCACTCGAGGCTAAACGAACTTACTCTCCAAATTGTATTCGATGATCTTGTCTATGGCATTGCCGTATAAATAACATTTATCTGAGAGCGTTTTGAATGACTTCTCATTGGCCTCTTGCAAGTTGGCTGAATGCTGCAAATTTTTAAAGAAATATGTACATAAACACTGCAAGACACAATTTGTAACATTCATACCTTAAAGATTGCCTCCTTGGTAGCGTTAAAGACGGCTTTCCAGCACAATTCTTGTTTTTTGCCAAGAACACCGTTTAGGGCCTCCTTGGAGCTGGTCAACTTCTGGTCCAATTGTTCAATAGCTTTGTTGCGCGTGGTTGGTTTGTCGCAGTGCATTTCGGTGATAATGCGCTGTATTTCATTTAAAAGTGGATTCATTTTGAACACTGCCTTTTACTGTCTTACTTTCTTGTCGAATGACAGCTTTAAAGTTAAACTCATTTTTGTGCTAAACTTTCGGCTCGAACCCAAAGCGGGCAGTACAGTGTGACCGTAATCAAATAATACACTTTAAAAATATCGATTATTTGACCAATATAAAAATAAAAATTTTTAACGTTGAAATAGTTTTTTGCTTTTTTATTACATAGAAACCAATAGTACGAAACGATCAAATGATCAACAACACATTAGAATAACAAATAAATACTAGAACACTGCCAAAATCGTCTGCAGATTTATCTAACGTTAATTTCCAAAAATATATCGATAAGCAGTAGAAGAGGATTTAATAAATAAACGGAGTCTGCGCTAAATTAAAACCAATTTAAATGATTAAATTAGACGTAAATAATAGTTTTTTTGCTTTTATATAAAATAGAAACAAATAGTACGAAACGATCAACAGTGACACAGTAGATTAACGAATAAATACCAAAACACTTCCAACAACCGTTTGCAGATTCAACTATCGCTCATCTCTATAAACATATCGATAGACAGTTGGAAAGTCCGCCACAAATAAACGGCGTTTGGGCTATATTGTTTTGACGAAATGCCGATTGAAGTTTTTAAATCTGTGCGCGAAGTAAGCAGCGAAGATGCGGTAAGTTAAATCAAGAACTCTGAACAATAGTCTCGTAAAATCTCCGATCAAATTGCAGGTACATGTGGCTGCAAATCTGTTAAAGGAGAATGCCGCCAAAAAGTGGAAGACCCAAGCGATCGGTGAGAAGTCGGCGCATGTTATTCTGGAGTTCGAAGAGCCGCAGCAAATTACGGGCATAGACATTGGCAACGAGCATTCTGCCTTTATTGAGGTACTGGTTAGTAAGACCGGCTGCCAGCCAGATGATTTTAAGGAATTGCTGCTCTCCAGCTCGTTTATGACGCCCATCGAGAGCAAGAATTCCAGCAATACAAATCGCGTGCGCTGCTTCAGCAGCGATGCTTTGTGTCAGGCAGCGCTAACAGACAAATGGAAGCTAGTGAAGATTGTGTGCACACAGCCATTTAACAAGCATGTCCAATATGGCCTGTCCTTTGTCAAGATGCATGTGGCGGGCAGTTCAAAGCCAAAATGCCTGGTACCCGATAAGTTCAAGCTTACGGCACATCCTAATCCCTGCCCCAGTCCCGCAGTGGCTGCCTTGGGTCGTTTTAAGCTGCGCGAAGAGTCACCCGACTCGGAACCAGATGGAAAGGCTTCACTCTCGCTCTTTCAGCGCTGGAAGGCAACTAGAAATGAGGATACTAGTACTGCAGCAGCTATACGGGATGCCGGCTCACCAGCTGCACTGCGTCGTTTAAGCGATTCCCGCCCAGCGCCCATTAAAACGCCAACACAGGCCAACAGCCCGTCGAGCGCGACGCAGGCAGAAACTAAAGTCTTGGATCGAAATCGAGATTCGCTACTGTTTGGCGATGATGAGGACGAAGATAATCCGGCAGGGGCTGTGGCAGATGCGCGAAAGCAACGCTTGAGCAAACACATTGAGGCGGACAAGAACCGACGGCGCATGGAGCTCGAGAAGGAGTTAGAAAAGAAGAAGAACAAAGGCAAGCGTCTATCTACAGAAAAGCCAGCTGCCAAGCAGGATGAGCAGCCGGAGAAAAAGGTCGAGTCGAAGCCAACAGCAGCAGTACAGGCCCAAAAGCGGCTCTCGTCCTCGCTGGAAGAGCAGAGCAAGCCAGCCAAGAAGCCGAAAATGAAAGAGCTGAAATATGTCCCATTTAATCAGCTGCTGCGTGGCGTTGTGCTCGTCATCAGTGGCATTCAGGTGAGTAGAACTGCACGTAGTTGACCTATGCTTCCTTAAGACATGCAACTTTCTCCTATATAGAATCCTGATCGTGCAGACCTGCGCTCGAAGGCCATAGCACTGGGCGCCAAATACAAAGCAGATTGGGAACCAGGTTGCACCCATCTAATGTAAGAGTTTATCTCACAGACTCCTTAAAGACTCACAGTTGAACTATCAAGTTTATCCATTATAGCTGCGCCTTTAGAAACACGCCCAAGTACAATCAGGTCAAGGGCCACGGCAAAATTGTGACGCGTCGCTGGATTGAAAAATGTTATGAACTGAAGAAGTATTTGCCCTGGCGACGCTTTGCACTGGACAATGCGGAAATGGCGCAGCCCGAGAGCGATGAGGAGCTGTATGATGAATCATTGAAGCCCACGGTGGATGATGATGATCAGCATGACAAGGCAGCCAGTCCTGTTGCTCTGGCTGAAAGGCTTGACAACGATAACAGGAGCTACGAGGTGCATTCGTCTGGACCCGACACAGAGGACGAGCTCGAACGAGTGGCTCAAGAAAGTAAGTTGTAAGATCTGTCAACTTTCAATTTAATATGCAATACAAATTGATTACAGAAAAGAAATTGAAGCAATCAGCTGAATCAAATGGCAACAAGTCGATTTCCAAATCGAAATCTCAGGATGTTTACGAAGTTAGCACAGATGAGGAGGATTATCTGCAGGAAAAGCGAAAACAGTTGTAGCTATTAGTTAAGTCCAGTATTATGTATTTTTATTAAGTGTATAGATAAGTTTATATTATGTTTTTTTATATATTACGTCAGTAAAGTGATATATATTTAAACAATTTCAATATACGCGCTTTCTTAGTGTTGGAAGGGACAATATTTTTTCAGGACATGCTCTGGTCATCCTAATATAAATGTCCTAAGAGTCCGCATGATGCGTTTTTGGTGTTAAAAGGTATTTGGTATTTAGGGTCTGGATGTTAACGATGTCAATAGCAATGAAGAGGATATTATAACTTGTCGTTATTTATGTGATTTAAACAGTTATGTGTATTTAAATATTACGTTGCTATGTATATAAAGTAAATGTTGCCTGAAGTCAAAGCTAGTTAGTTTTAAATGTTATCTCAGCCACATATTTGAAAATACGCGCGTATGTAGTGCTGTTAAATGCTGTTAGCACATGCGCGGATTAGCCCTTGAATCAAGCTTTGAAAGTATTTTTGGCATTCTAAGTAAAAGCGGAGTATTTGAAAAAGGTATAAATGGTTCTGTTTTAGTTCACAGTGAGTATGCTTGTTGATAGCAATAACTTTTATGTTTTTTTTTTTTGTTTTTTTTTATATTAACGTTTTTTTTAGCTAACTTTATGACGATGAACGTTTACTCTAATGCATGAGAAAAATGAAAAGTAATTTTTGTTTCTCAAACTCTACGTTATAAAAATAAGTACATCAAAACACTTAATTATCATTTGAAAAATGTAATTTCCATACAAATGCACAGCAGATGTGGCAGCCTTGATTTCGTTCGAAATCGAGAGATATGGCAGCGTTGAATTCATTTATGCAGATTTTTTCGTACCAGCTGAGTCAAAATGTACTAAAAAATACCCTATGCCATTTAACACTGGCTTGCAATTCACAATAGACTGCTGCATTGGCTGCCTGTCGACAAAAAAAAAAAAAAAAACGGAAAAACAACTTGTGCCTGGGCTCAATTATGCTCGCAAGGATAACATAAAAGGAAACGACGCATACAAACAAAATACACATACACACATATAGCAGCAGCTACGTTTCCATAGGAATCGCTGAGAGTGTTGCTTGCGAGCCGAGACTACGATACACGGCGTATACGTGCTTTATTTGCTGCGCTGTTAATAAACGGTATGAGAAAAGTATAAAAAAATTAATGCATATGTATAATTATATATATAATTATATATTCACTATAGGCAAGTGCATGTGCTAAATTTTGCATATTAAAAAACTGGAAAACACAGACAAAATTTGAGATTCGAATTTCGGGCTTAGGTGAAAAATCAATAGAGCGAGAGAGAGAGAGAGAGATAAAAATAATGTGTTGATTGTTGATGTTGTTGTTTTGCAGAATGTGCGCCTAGGGATAATCATAACAAGAAAACAAAACAACAAATTAAAGTAAGTGAAATACATTTCTTATATACAAACATATATTTATAAATATCTTATATCTATGTATTCATTAAAAATTCAGATAAATTTAGGTAGAGCGAAAAAGAGATAGAACAAGGACATTCAACATGGGTAACGAAACATCGCTGCCAATGGACATGTGCTCCAATTTCGATGCCGATGAAATTCGTCGTTTGGGAAAACGTTTTCGAAAACTCGATCTCGATAATTCAGGTGCACTGAGTATCGATGAATTCATGTCACTGCCGGAGCTACAGCAGAATCCGCTTGTGCAGCGTGTTATCGATATTTTCGATGCCGACGGCAATGGTGAGGTGGACTTCAAGGAGTTCATCCAAGGCGTCTCACAGTTCAGTGTTCGCGGCGATAAACTATCGAAGTTGCGTTTCGCCTTTCGCATCTACGATATGGACAACGATGGCTACATATCGAACGGCGAGCTCTTCCAGGTGCTGAAAATGATGGTCGGCAACAATTTGAAGGATACGCAACTGCAACAGATTGTCGACAAGACCATTTGCTTTGCCGATAAGGATGAGGATGGCAAGATCTCCTTCGATGAGTTCTGCTCTGTGGTGGGCAATACGGATATACATAAGAAAATGGTTGTTGATGTTTAAGCTAAGCGGCCAATAGAGACACCACATATACAAACACAGACACACACTTAGACATATATATCTGTATCGATATATACATATGTATGTATATATATATGGAACTACCAAAGAAATCAAATTTTGAACTTCACTTTCATTCGAGAAAAACCAAAACAAAAGTAAACAAACAATTTTGATGTATATGTATCGTATGTACCTCTACCATTTATATATGTATATGTATGTATGTATTTATTTAAGTGCGTGCTTTCTAGGCACAACAACAAGTAACTAACTAACTAACTAAAATAATTACTATAACAAAGAGAAAGAAGTATATGAATGAATGTAAAAGAAAAGAATGACGAAGAAGAAGAAGCAAATCAACTATGAAAACTCGAATTTTATACCATTTCCATGCACCCATCCTCGAGAGCGTGTGAACCAACATATTGGAATTGGTTTATTGGAATTGTGTAGCTGACAAATCTATATACTATAATGAAGAACAACCCCAAAATCCCGAACTCCAAAATCACTCTATCCTCTCCCACCTATTCCCATTCCCACTAGTGTCTCTCCTCTGTCTTCTAGCTAAGTGCAATATAACAGTATAACAGTTTAAAAACTATATTTTGTGCCTGGCTCGTTTTCAAAATCTAACTGATATTCTATTCTAAAAAGCGTCAGCGTTCTTTTATCTATAGCATTTATATTACTATATAAATATAAATATATATTATATAAATATTATGTGTATTAATATATTTTTTTTTTAAATATTTCATTTGACTTTGTTAATTTTTGGTTGGTTTTTTAGATTAACTATTAATTAAATGTTGTGAATGTACAAAATAATTCTTGAATATTGTTCAATTAAAATACAATTGTTAAGAATTAAAACAACAGACATCCAAAAACTCTAAACTTAAATTGCCTTTTGCATTCAGCTAGTCTGTAAGCCCAACCCAATTCCAATTGGATATCATGTCGTCACATACATAATTAGCGTTATATACATATACATATATACATGTAATTATGTTAAGTATCTGTTGGGACGGCGAAACGGAAAACGAAAACGAAAACCTAAATGAAAACGAAAACTGAGAAAAGAAATCATATTCGTCGTTTCGTTTTCGTGGCCGAAGCCGAACGCGAGAGCTCGAACACGAACACGAACACGAACTCGAACTCGAACTCGAGCCTGAGCTCTGCTCACACCCTTTTCGGGCAGCGATTAACTTGACTTTGTAGGTCACACGATTTGTGCGCTTGTATGTGTGTGCGTGTTAGATAGCGATGAGCGTGCGTGCAGCATGAAACACGAGACAGCGGAAACGATATTTTGTAAGAGTTAGTTAAGCTTGAAATATTTTATTCAAATTTTAATTATGAATTAGCATAGCTTAGCATATTTCAACAACATTTTAATTATTAAACTGAAGGTGCAGATGCTATAGATATCTCTTTATCTATTTATCATTGTGTTTCATATATCACATACACCTGTTCATCTCTAGTAGTGTTAATTATATGTATGCGAATGTGTGAGTGTGTGTGACAGTGGAATGCATTGCAGCTTGGCAAGCAAACGTTTAACCGTTGTATAGGAACGCCAACGTTCGCAGGACAACACCCACAATTTATATATGTACATATGTATATACATACATACATATAGGAACTTATGGAATGTGCTTGATATCAATAAATTATTATCTAATGTCTGTGTGGCGGTCACGTTGAAGTTGACTCGTAAATCATATGCTTTACACTCCATATATACATGCGTACAAATATATATACATATCACATATCGGAAATTAAATAGTTCGTTTTCCCTGTATTTTACCTTGGCTAGCGTAGTTCTTTAAGCTCGGTTCTCTGGTTCTCGGTTCTCTGGTTCTGTTCATCGCTCTGACCTTTTTCATATTAATTGGATTGATTAATGTGCTCCAATTTTGGAATGTACGTAACAGAGCTATGGTCACACGCCCATATATACTACGCCCCCTACGTACTCATCCCCATTCCTCTCATATATTTCGACCCTTGTCGTGGCGCTTCTTGACATTCAATCGGCTAGTCATTAATCGTAGTGACTTTTGCTTAACTATTTATATGACTCCATCCCATGCCAATTAGGGTCTTCTACCAGTTAGCTTTATTGTCTATAGGCTAATGAGCCTGTACATAGATCATCGATGTATATCAAAGGGTATTTAGCTAGTCTCTCATTCTGCCCATGCCTACCAGAAAATTTACAAAATTAAGATCAGCTGAAAATCGCTGCGAATCGTTCAACTGGAATGCGTCTGATTGGAAATAGGGGTTAATACTGCGTTAGTTGGCAAAAAAAAGCGTTGATAAAAACGTGAGCATTTTTTGTATGCTTTGAATCGCCCACAAAAGTATGCTACACCAATTTTGTTATGTGGAATTAATGCAATTGATTTTCTAATTCACTTCGTAATGGGTAAATGGGGTATATTGGTGTGACTAACTGATACGCAACAGGTGGAAGGAGCCGTGGCTAAGTCTCTCCCTATATGCATACATATATGTAATCCTGATGCATAGATGAGTCAATCTTATCTACCTTTAGCCTATTTGGTTAATTTTATATAATTTATAAAACTTAATTGGTAAACATTTGGTTTATTTTTGAATAGATTGGAGATTAAGGCATCTGTGACATCGAACAGCTTCAGTTTTTCTTTTCATTCAATAAGTTTTCCCATTTTAAATGAATGAAAGCAAGGCAATCATATCAAGCTATCGAATAGCTAAAGACACACTATGATAGTTTTTCATTTTTGGGGCAGGGTACCAACAATTCTGTATTAGCTGAGCGTCAAGCTTCTGTTAGATAAAGTATGTCAAGGCTGAAATTCAAGTTTCTCAATAATTGATTAAGCTTAAGTTAAGATATCTAACTAATCTAGTTTAGCCGTCAGTCTGTACTCTCCTTCCTCCCTCTCCCACTCTCTGACAGTGGCTTTCTCTTTCCCCCTTTTACTTATTTATATGTATTTCCTGTCAGCCAATTTTCGCTGTGATTAATTTGTTTGTTTCCGTTGAAGCAACAAGCTCTCGCTCCCTTCTCTCCCTCTGCTAATCAATTCAAATCAAGATTAACGATGCGCGGCACAAAAAGCCTTCGAGTTATCCAATTAATGGCGGAAGCTGTGCAAACACTTTTCAGACAACTTCATGTTTTTGATTGATTTTTGCTTTCATTCAATTTCAGCCAAAAACATAAATATTATGACGATGAAGAGAACTTAATTGAAAAGCTCTAAAAATCAAACTTGATGGTAGATAAATTAATGAAATATTACTAAGGAATTTCAAGCACATTGAATTTACATGTTGTTAAAAATATGGAGAAATTAAACTATAGAAAATCAAGTACTAAATCTTGGGATTGATCGTCCAATAGAGAAGATGTTTACACTGTAGATCTTGATCTAGATCAGATATTATATTTGGTTTTATAACTTCCATTCATATCGTATATGAGTATACAAAAATGTCTTTTTTAGCTATCTAATATAGTCTTAAGTTTAAGAAGCATAAAATATAGTCACCATGCAGTGTGCACAAAATCAATATGCTCTATTAAGATAAAGTCTTTAATCTAACAAACCCAATATGCTCTCTCAACTGCGCTCGCTGAACGAGTATATTTAATCATGATATTTTCGCTTAAAGGATATTTATATAGTATATATTTAGAAAGTTTTCCCAAAGCAATGACCTGTTATGTATGTATATTAGCGGTAAATGTTCGTGTGGCTCTGTGTGTGTGTGTGTGGCTGACTCTGGCCCGTGAAGTCAGCAGGCCAAAGCATAAGTTCATATAACTCTGAAAGTTTTTTGCTTTCGCTCTTCATTTTTTTTTTGCTTGTTTTGTTCTAGTTTTTTGGCATTTTTGTTTTGGTTTTGTTTTTGTTATTGCAATAAACATCATTTTCATAATGCTAAAAGACAGCTCCAATCAAGAAAAACAATGTGAAATCAATGTGAGCACACACACACAAATACACACACATGTATGTATTTGTTTGCACTTGTGTGTTAGACGATAAAAGTTGATTCGTGCCAGCTTGGAGCAGTAACCGAAAAAAACAAAGTCAACGGCAAAGAAAAAAACAGAAAAAAAACGCATACAAAACAAAGCGAATGTGAATGTGAAATGCGAAAATACCAAAAACAACAATCAACAATCAACAACCAAACGCCGTTAGCGACAGGAGCGGCATCTCACCAATCCCGCTAACCCTGCCAACAAAAACAACAACGGCAGCAGCAGCAATAAAAACAAAAAAAATAACGGAACCATAAATTTATCATTACAGCAGTAGCAAGCAGTAGAAGCACCAGCAGCAGCAGCAACTACCTCAACACTGCAGCATGTGCCCAAAGTAACACACACACACACACACACACATACACACACACACACACAGGCCCACTGAAGGTGGGCGCAGCGCCGACATAGCCGGTGACGCAACGGAACTGCGGGAACCATGCATGTGCCAAAGCATGCAAGAGAAAGGGAGATGGCAGGGGTATGGCTGCGTGCTGTTGCAGAGAGCGCGCGGAGCTGCGCGGAAGGGGGACGAACAGTGGAACGACAAGCGACGACGCGTCGTTTTGACTGACAGCGAGACTCCCGGACTGTGTGTGTGTATGCGTGTGTATGACTGTGTGTGTATGCGTGTGCATGACTGTGTGTGTATGCGTGTGTATAACACTGTGTGTGCTGCTTGCCTGCTGTTCCCAGTGCTGCTTTGGCATGCACTCGACGATGCCGACGCTTCGTTGCTTTTTGGGCGTTCGGTACGAGAGTAGGAGGCGCAGTGAGAGCGAGAGCGAGAGAGAGAGATAGAGTGAGATAGGGGAAGGGAGAAGTGAGAGAGCGGGGCGCCGTTTACATATGAAAATTGGGCATGGCTAAAGGAGCCCGATCCGGACCCAGGCACTGGGCCACGGGAACGAACAACTTAAACGAAGCAAAAACCGAAGCGTCAGCGCACACGGCTGGCTGGTCGGGTAGGTAGGTAGATGGCGCTGGGTGGCTGGCTGGCTAGCTGGCTAGCTGACTGGCTGGGTGGGTGGGTGTTTGGTTGGCTCTTGGGTTAGGTTTGGCTGACGGCCTGGCAGCG